TGTTGTAAACTTATGACACTTATGACACTAACACTATATTTATTCAATTAATCATTAAAACAACCTCATGTAATAGGTACTATTACTATCATTGGTTATTCATCAGGAACCCAAGGTGCAGAGAGGTTAAGTACAATAACTTGCCCAAGGTCACACAGCTTATAAGGGACAGGACCAAGTAACTCCAGGCTTTTTGCTTATAACTGTCAAGTTCTACAACAAAATCTCTGAGCAACAACAACAGAAAACGAAATATAAATTTCCTCATAAACATGAAAAGATACTCAAAATCCTATATAAAAAGCTACAAACTAAAACTACAGTGAGATACATCATTTTCACTGTCCACCAAAGCTTCTTTATATATCTGCCCTATCTAGGTAAGAAGGTGAGTTTTGACTCGCTTGAAGGCCAGAGGTTGGACCCAGTGACTTAAGCATTCAGTTTAGGATTTATGCACGGTTGTCACAGTGTGGGAAGGTAAAGGCCCTGGATAAATGTGACACAGTTTGCCTGTTTTTCTATTATATGAACATATGTGGTCATGCTTATCCTTGAGGGGAAAAAAAAATCTTTCTATTTAGACCCATGATACTTAAAAATTACCCCATGAGCTCCAAACAATATATTTCTGAAATGAAATAAGTGCAAGAAAATTTAAATTGGTGTCTTTGTTTGCCTGTCAAAATATGACAATATGAAAATAGTAATTTTTTCTTTTTTTATCTGATCTATATCTTTACTTGCTAAAGACGGTTGGGAAACAAATAACTTCTATGTTCTTTTCTCATACGGCATTAATAAGGCAATCACTGTGAGAAAGCATTATGCTTGCTTTATGTATTGTAGTAAAGTCACGGTTCCCTCTGTTCATGGGAACTGGGTTGATGAAGGGTAAGTGAAATCCACATAGAATCTTGGGATCATTCTTAATCTAATATTTCAGTCTTTTCTGTCATTACCTCTTTACTCAGAGAAGCTCACAAATAGAAAATGCAACTGATTTGTAATTATATTCCTTTTCCTCAGAATTAGATGGAAGCCTTGGCAAAAGTAAAGTGACCAAGCTAGTAGCAGTAAGCAGTGAGAAAGGAGCAAAATTCAGAAATAACTAGTGCAAGGAAACTGGAGTAATCTATGAAGTGGTTACCAAGGTAGCCATTTGTTGTATCCTAGCCAACTTTGAAGGTCAGCCACTTCCTCCATGAAGCCTTCTTTCCCACCATGCAGATGTAACTGTTTCATCCTTGATCATCCAATATACTTTATCATCATCATCATCATCACGTGTGTGACAAAACTATACAGAAGTATGTCAGGGGAAAGAAAACAGTCCTGCCATTCTTCCCGATTTCACCTTCTTGACAACTGTGAAGTCTTTCAACAGTTTCTCAGTGCTAATACATATTTATCTCCATATATTATTAGTATTGTTATTTTACCAGAATGGGCTCAGACCATGCATATCACCCCAAAACTTAATTTTTGCACTTAACATCATGTACATTCTTCCAGTTAAATATCAAATAACTCCAAGGCAATATTTTTAACAGCTATAAAATAGTCTGTAATTTAGATAAAAACAATGTACCCAATATAACTCAACCTTTCCACTTTTCTGCTATTCCCCAAAATGCTCTATTAAAGACTCTTATATGTGCTTTTATTTTTCTGTAGAACAGGTTCTCTCAAGTGGGACTGGTAGATCAAATTTTAATAACTTTTGCCAGATTGTCCAAAAACAAGCAACTCATACACAAACAGGTTATGAGAGGACATAGGGCACCAATCCCAAACCGCACTGGGTGTTTTCACTCATTTTAATTTTGCCAATCAGATAGGTAAAAAATGGTATTGCGTTATTATTTTAAATTACATTTCCATGACTTAAAGAGGCTGAATGTTTTTTCATAACCTTTATTGTCTGTTTCAAGTTAAGTTTCTGTGAATTGCCAGTTCATATACTTTCTTTATTTCCCTATTGGATTGTTTGTCTTTTCATTTTTTATCAAAATGTAGGTGTTCTTTGTATGTTACGGAGATCAATCATCAGTCTGTTACTCATATACTGAAATATTTTTCTGAAATATTTTACTGAAAAATATGTAACTGAAATATGTTTCTTTTGACTTTGCTTATATTGATTTTATCCATATGAAACTTACAATTTCTCATATAGTCAGCTATGTCTATATGTTTCTTTATGAGTTCTGCATTTTTTTGCTTTGAAAAGATCAGTTGCACCACCAGATTATTTTCAAATTATGGAAAAATCTAAAACCTATGAATTGGGACTCATGGTGAAGGATGAAATAAAACAACTTAGTGGGATTACTATTTATTTTAGATATATTAATAGAGATCAGTGTAATGATGACTATTTGGGATAGGATTATAATCATGAAAGGAATGGAAAAGCCAAATAAAAATTCAAATTGACTGGGATGTGGTGAAGGCAATGAAGAAGACATTGTACAAGTTGGCACACATGAAATGGAGGAAAAAAGATGAACTCTTACAAAGAAAAATATACAGTGAATCTAAAATAAGATGAGAGGAATAAAATAGATTATGTCCATTGTCACAGCAAAGCAGAAAGGTTGAATTTCATGATCAAAAGGCAAAGCCTGCCAGATTTTGCTTTAAAAAACTCCATCTGTAAGTTATTGTGAAAATATACATAAAAACAAAGGAATAGAGATATAAAAAAATGAAGAGGTTAGGAAAGACCCACTAGAGAGATTCAAACCAAGAGGAGGAACTATGTTAATATTAGTATCAAATAAAGCAGATGCACGGCCCCAGACTTTGTCTCAGGGGATTAGTGCTAACACAGCAGTCAGGATTTCAGGAATTAAAATTCTGGAGTGAAGGGGAGAGCAAAAAGGTGGGGTAATAGTGTGAGCTGCCTTTCTCTTCAAGGCATTTACCAATTTCTTAGACAGACAGACAGGCTGAGTAGGAGTTAGCAGCAGTCTTACAGTGCTGAGGGGACAAAAATTGTAGTTCTGAGTTCTTCAACATGGAGAGCACCCCAGGCTTCCATCTTAGGTTGTGAAGAGAATATATCCTGGGCATAAGGGTAAACTAAAAAACAGATCAGTATTTACAAAATCCAGCCTAAAATAAACTCAGTCCCTGACCGGATTAAGGGGACCTATTGTAACTGCCTGCTAAAGCCAACGGATTCTTCTCTGAAGAAAAAGAACACCAACACAGTACCCACAATTTTTTTTACATAGTGTTCAGTATTCAATTGAAAAAAAAAAAAAAAGACCAGGCATACTAACGGACAGAACCAAGAGAAAAAAGACCCCAGGAAATTGCAATCCCCAGGTAACTCACATATCCAGATGCCTTTCACTAATTATACATATATAGTAGATAAAAACATGGAGAATTATTTCAGAGAACTGGAATCTATAAAAAGAATCAAGTGGGAATTCTAAAACCAATTATAGCTCCCTCTTTGCCAGTCTATCTCAGTGGTCCTCAACCCTAGCTGTACCTTAGGATCACCCGGCCCTACTGTGGACCTATTACGCTCCCCAGGGGTTCTTATGCACAGCCAGGATTGAGAATCACTATTCCTTTATTCTTTTGCTCCCAGTAGAATGAGTCCAAGACTGCACAGGCTCAGATACCACAAGCATTTTGGGGAGCAAAAACTATTTCCTAAGGAAGGAGGTGCATTCAGATGTAAGTGCAGGGCTTAGCACTGGACGCTTAGAGTACTAGCCCTGCTAGTTGGAGGCGACCCAGCAAGCCACAGATTCTCTCTCTGCTTCCGTCACCCATCAGATAAGCACAAGATCTTTTGTCTCTGGCAGACAGTAACGTGAAGTTGAAAATGGAAAATAGATAAGACTTTTCAAAATGCTGAAAATCATACAAATATAATTTGTGAGTGTTCCCATCACAATCAAACAAAATCTTTGCTGTGCTAAGGTGGGTCTTGCACAGGCCATTTCTCTTTCTGAACCCCAATTTCCTCACCTATAGAATGGAGCTACCTATTCTGCAGATTACATCTTAAGCAGCAAGGCAAACAATGGGAACTGAAACCTAAGATATTATATTGTATTTGCTATTATTAATTTGCATTTTTATTACAAAGCTGTGGGTAGGCTCTCTTGATGTCAAGCCTGCCATCAAATCTTGTAGTCTCTCAGGGTAGTAGATACCGACACCCACGTGGCCATAAGCAGGTGCAGCGTTTCTGCCTGCAAAGCTTTTCAACTTCAAAACAAATCCCAGGGAATTTTTGGTTATAGACTAAACCTTCTGAGGTGACAAATGCAATTGACTTAACTGCCTGGAAGCTGCCCCTTTAGCTTCCATTACCTGGGCTTTCCTGGTTGTTAGGTGTGTGACAGAAGATCAATACTGGCTACAGGTGAATGTGTGTAATCAACTTAAGCAAAGCGTGTTGAAATCCTCTCGTGTGTGGTGTCATAAAAGGAGCAAGGGTTACAGAGCACTGGGCAGGCTACAGTGCCCTGCTCCATAAGCAACTCCTGCCACCTTCCTCTGTCCTCGCCTTCTCCCTCTGAGTTACAGTGCCTGGTACCTTCTCTAGCCCCCAGAAGTTTTGCATTCTTCAGTATAGGGCTCTGTATTCTTATGCTGGCCACAAGTCCAGTGATTATAAACACTCAGGTTTCTGGAAAACTCAAGATTCAGTGTAGTGAATTTGAAAGTGTGAGATGGGGAAAAAGTTTTTGGAAGTGGCTACAGCACAGTTATTCCTGATTTTGACTCTGTTGGTGTATGCATTCTCGCCTGTGCAATGCACTACAAATTTATGTTGTCAGCCAGTGACACAAATGGATTTTTTTTCCTAGAGCAAATCTGATAATTACTACGTTGTTACAGATCTTGCAACAAGCAAAACAATAGATTCAGGATGTCAGGTTTCAGTGCAACAAAACAGAGCAACTCTCCTTGGAAGGCATGAACTGTCATCTCAAATGGGACCCTGAAATATTGTTCCCACTTACCTACTGAAATGGTCCAAACAGCAATTATTTTCAGAAATGCCTTTGTTCTGGAGTTGAAGCGACTGTGATGGATGGGGTTCTGGATGGCGACATAGCGGTCCAGCGAAATGGCGCAGAGGTGCATGATGGAGGCCGTGGAGAAGAGCACATCCAGGTAAATCCAGACTGCGCAGAGCTTGCTGGGCAGAGGCCACCGGTAACCTGCAATGCAGAAGCTGAGTGTCAGTACGTGGCCTTTTGCTGCCTCTGGCATGTGGATTACGCCCTGATGCCACGGTTTGCACCCTGGGGAAAGGTGCAGGTGGTAGCAAAGGGCAACATAAGATATTTTTCAATATTTCAAAAAAGCCTGATAGCAACTATGGTTAAGTACAATAAGATTTCACTGGCTGATGAACACAGGTTTAAAATTTTCTTTTGACTGGTATTATGTCAGTGTGTTGCCCTAACTCAGGCTCTCTTTAGGGTTTCTCTCACTCTGTTCTGCCTAACAAAACCCATGTTTTTTTGTTTGTTTGTTTGCTTTTTTAATTACTTAGGTCATAGGTTATAACTTATTTTGGGCTCCTCTACTGAAGCACCTCACAGTGTACTGTTGTTACTTCTTCACGTAATTCTCACACATTGTAGCTTCCCTGAGGTTAGGCCCCCTCCCTTAGTCATTCCTGTAACTGCTCAGTCTTACCCTGTGATGGCATTTAGTAGTCTCTCAATGCTATTGGTGTGAATGTATAAATGATTAAAAATCCAGATTGGGAATATGTCTTTACTTGTAAAAATGAAAAATAATTACCTAATAATGCTTTGGGGGTTAAACTCAAATTTGGGGTATGTAGGGGGGAAAAGTGAAGACAATAGTGAGGAAAAACATGGTGTTCTTGAGAGTTGTTTCAGGGAGGCAGTTCTCATACTTTAGCAAGTAGCAGAATCTCCCTGGCACCTTCTTAAAACGGGGCTGCTGGACCGCACCTCTGGGGTTTCTGATTCTGTCAATCTGCAGGGAGGCAGGAAAATTTGCATTTCTAAAGAGTTCCCAGGCAGTGCTAATGCTGCTGGGACCCCACTTTGGCAACTGTTGTTTAGGGTAGTGGTTCTTACTTCCTGGTGGCACATTAGAATCCGCTGGAGAGCTTTGCAGAAGTCCTGATGGCCAGGAGGATGGGCGGAAGTGGGTCCTCCACACTGAGTGTTTTAAAGCTCTCCACATGATTCCACTGGGAGAACCCCTGAAAGAGGTCACCTGTTATATTAGGAAGATAGGACATGCCTTATGGACATAAGCATAGTGTCCTGTTTTGGGTTTTGTTTTGAGGGGGATCAAATGGTTACATAAACCTTAACTAGTTTTGATAGCAGTATAAGCAATGGTGTTAGATCTGTGTGCATGTGAGAAGTTAAATTATAAAGACCACCTTTTCTTCACAATATTCAAGACCCATAAAGTTGAACAAACTCTCCATTTGCAAATATATTCTACCAAAATGCCACCACTGGTATTTATGAAAGTAGAAAGGTTGCAGGGTACAAGCCTAATTTGGTGTCTTTCGCTCTCATTATTTGCAAACAGCTGTGCTAAAACTAGAGCCTTTTCCTTAGCAGTGCCTGGGGGGGGAGAAGCCATGATCTGCCTGGTCGGAACTGATGTTGGCTTTTAGAAGCGTTTTTTTTGGAACGAGGCAGCCGCAGGCCTTAGTCTGGGTTTCCGCAGTGGGGATAAGGAAGGGGCATTTCCTCACCCTGCGGAGTCTGGGAGGACCAGCCCAGGGAAGGGCTCACTCAGGTCAGGAACCGGCTGCACGCAAGCGGCCAGCCGCCGCCAGGGGGCGCGTTTGTGCCCGGAGCCGGAGGGGCCGGGCAGGTCTCAGCTTCCTAACCCAGCTGGCAGATGCCTGCCCGGCCACCTGCCGCTCGGGGTCATCCCTAGCCTCCCTCCGCGGTTTTGGTTCCCAGACCGGACCTTGTGAGAGTCATCCCCCACTCCTCGAGTTTGCCTTTGAGCAGGGTAGGGGTTTAGGAAGCGAGGACCTCTCCAGAATGTCTGGGAAATGACAGGCCAATTTAATGAAATCATCTGGGTGTGACATTTGAGTTGGTAAGTGTGGGGGTGTGGGGAAGGGCTGGTTTTGCAGTGAGCAATATTGACCCTCTGTAAACTGGCACCTGTTTTCCATTGCTCACCTACCTCCTTCCCACTCCTCAGGGCAGGACTGATTTTTTTTAGCCCCTAAGTCTTGGCCAGAAAACCCCCCTTTTAATGATAGTGCTCGTAACCTGTTTCTAGCTCTGGGTGATTGCTGATGTGTCTGTGTCAGCAGTCTCAATATTCATATTCTCTCTCCTCTCTCTCTGGAGAAATCTGGCCATATTACTCATAATTTGGAAAGAATATCACATTCTGCTCCCAGCTGAAGCCGCTGCAGTGTTTGCTGACTTGCTGAGAGGACTGACGCTTTCAAACTCTGTTGAGAAGAAAGCAAGATGAATTTCTTCCCATTTGTTTCCCACCCTCCTCCACACCAGTCTGGAGGATTTTATGCATATGAATTTTTAAAGAGCTGAGGGTATAATTCAGAGGCCCACTTCCAAATTAGCTTCTCTGGGCAGGGAACAATTAAAACTGGAGTAATTCATTTATTCTAATGGGGACTCAGCATATTTCAACATTAAACCCACTTGGACCATTAATGTTCTCTCTACAAATGTTCCAAGGTAATCGGGAAGGTTTTACCACTCCATTAGAAGTGCGGAAAACTGTGTGACAAAGATAAAACAGTTCTGTCCTGAAGGCTGTAATATTTGTGAATATTAAGGAGTGAAAATAAACTGGATTCAGAATGACAGACAAATTATTGCTTTATGACTGTATTGGGACATTTATAATCATTTCTACATAAAATGTGCATGTTTTAAAGCACAACACTATATAACTATCTTTACATAAAATTACATGTTTCAAAGCACAAAACTCTCCAGTGAACACAGATAATAGGTTGCCTGTTTTTTTTTTTAATATGTGAAACCTCATTTTAAGAGTAAAGTTTAAGTAACTAGAGTTACACGGTAGACCCTTGTCTATTAGCAAAGCCTTGTGTTTACTTTGTCCCCTGAGCCCCCGCTCATCTGCTAATGACATGCACATGCTGTTTATCACCAGTGGGTATAGCTGGGAAACTAATGCCACTCACCATACAGGATGGTTAACATGGACACAGGCATGACAAGGAAACCCAGCAGCATATCGGCTATGGCAAGTGACATCAGGAAATAGTTGGTGGCGTTCTGCAGCTTTTTCTCTAGGGACACTGCCATGATGACGAGTATGTTTCCAGCAATGGTTAGGATAATCACTACAGCTGTCAACAAAGCAGACCAGTTTTTTTCCTGGAGATGAAGTAAGGAGAAGCATGGTGGTGAGAGGCAGCCCTCACAGGAAAGGTTGGTTCGATTTTCAGAGTCCACTGTCCAGTTAAATGCATCCGAAGCGTTAGTTTCTCCAGAGTTAAAGTTGTTATTGTAGAGCCTTGTGTTATCATTTAGTTGCATTAAGGAGTTCGTGCTTGAGCTCAAAGAAGTGTTTTCTTCACACAGAATATCCATTTCTAAGTCAGAACTTGTAACAGGTGAAGTGTAGAAAAACTAACAAGTTAATAGGCTCTGCTCACCATCCATCTTTCTGTCCCCACACTCCGTCACACAGAAGCTGGTGTACCTGCTGGGCTCCTTTGGTTGGCTTTTATTCCTCCCATTATTACAATAGTAGTTGAAGAACTGCAATGGCTCTTTGTATTTCCTTCCGTCACAATTTTAGCAGTCTTCTATTTGGTTTCATTTTTTTTTTTTTTGCTCCAAAGCAAGGTCAAAAAGACAGAATGAACTTTTAGCATAGAGGTTTCAAAGTTTTGAGCATTTGGGGAGAAAAATGTGATCCTGGCCAAAAAAAGAAAAGTTTTGTAACTACCAGGAATCTCCTTTAGTTCTGTCTCTTTTGTTGGTTATGCTGATCACACTAGGTTAGCCACAGCTGTATTAAAACAGCATGCAGTCCAAAACAGCAGGGCTGAATGCCTTCTACATTAAGAAAGTCAATTAAAAATACATCCAGTGTTAATCCCATAGTAATTGGATGTACTTTGGGTTATAATTCTCAGTCAGTTTTAGGCTGAACTGCCACAGCTGCTGTCTGGAATTTCAGCTTGTATTATGTTGCTTAGTTAATAAAAGGGGGAAAAAAAAAGTCTTAAGCAAAGATTAACAACTTTCCACACTAGAAATTCATTGTGAAATGATGACATTTTGGCCAAGCCTGATTTCAGGCCAGAAAGAAAATTACACAGCAATAAAATATAGTATGAGTATATGAGAACTTACATTTGTCTTCAGGGTCCTTACATCAGACACACTGCTGTTCTGACACTCGCCGCATCTCTCATAATAACTAAGCTTGTGTAGAGTCCCTTCTCCTTGAGCTTCCACCAGCATAATATGATAGTAATTTGATTTCTGTTTTGCTGACTTCAAAAACTGCATGTAAGGGTCAAGCCAGTTCCAGCATTGCGAAGTCCGCGTTGGCTTTCTCTGCCCCCGCTCAGCTGGGTTACTCCCTCCCTGGGCGGCTTGCCTCAGCGAGGCACACATTTAGAATCATTCACAAACCCCTCTCAAAGTCACACAAAAGAAATCGCGCAGCAAAGTAGGAAGAGCCGCCGGCACGGAGGGTCGCGTGGTTTCCACGGGAATGGACTCGCTCTCAGGCTGTCTCGTTCACGTCGTCAGACCTCCCTCTATCTGTGTGTCATAAACTGCAAGGTGGCAACCGCCAGGAGGGTGGATCGAATAGGCTGGATTTTTTGTTGTTGTTTTCTGTTTTTTCTTTTTTGCTCCATGTTAACGCCGGGAAGTTTTTCTTTGTTTTCAAAAGAGAGATCCTGGATAATTCGCATTTTGTACAGATTCTTAAGGCAGGTAAGCTGCACTGGGATATTTATTAGGGTGAAGAGAGAACATGAGAGAGGCTAGAGAATGGTATATCCAGGGAGAGTGCTCCCTGTAAGCAAGGTGCTTCCTTCCCAAGCCCACATTCTTGTTCTTTTTTTTTTCTATTTTTTTTTATTATTAGTTTCAGGTGTACAGAACAATGCAATAGTTATCCTTTTCACCCCTCACAAAGTAACAACCCCCCTCCCCCCATCCACTGCCCTCCCTATAAGCCCACATTCTTATGCCTGAAGTGGGATTAGTGACGTTTCGGTGGCTTGAGCTCAGGGTGGTCAAGCAGATCTTGGCCAATAACTCTGAAACTATTAGGACTGTTTTCATTTATTATTAAATACATATACTGTTCAACTAGCTTATTTTCTTCGGCAGAAATATACCACATAGAAGTGATTCAGAACCTCCCATGTAGAAGGGAATAAGTTGGTTGTTCAAACACTAACGACAGCCTGTGTTCCTTGTAAGAAAGCCCCTTCTCAGTTTCTAAAGAAGGCAGATATGTGTATCGATGGATGTGTACACACACACATACATAGCTCCTGATTTTTATAGATGAGAAAATGTATTTTTTCCTAAATAGTATTTTTTTCTAAATTTCTGTCCATCGTTATCTTCTTTTCTTACTCTTTACATTCTCCCGAAACAAAAGCCACTATTCTCATGCCTTCAACATGTCTGTGGCCAACTCTGTACCTTCATAGCAGATGATTTCTCTCAGCTCCAGACCTAGATAGCCAGCTGTCCACTGGGCCTTCTATCAGCAGCTCAGGAGACCTTGATCTCAGCATCTCTTATGTACCCATTGCTCGGCCCACCTCTCAGTGCTTATCTCCAATCAGTCTCTTAGTTAATGGGATCACCATCTCTTCAGACAAGTGGCCATTACTTATGCCTCTTCCTTCATTCTCAGCGCCAGATCTCACCTAGTCTCCAGTGCCACCCCTGTGTACATATTTCTCAAGTCGCCTTTCCTCCAGCCCACAGGTCACCCTTCTTTGGTTAAGGGCGACATCATGTGTTGCCTGGGCTGGAGCACAAGTGTCCCCTTCACTGCCATTCTGTCATCCTCCTGCTCCTCTGCATCCCCGCTCCTGGGAGAAGGGTGATGGTGATCACCACACACCTTAGAGCAGGCAGTTGGGAACACAGATTTCGGGGTCATAATTGCTTAGTTTTGAATCCCAGCTCTGTAAACTCAAAAGCAGTCGAATCCTGGACAATCCAGTTGCCTCCTTTAAGGCTCAAATATTCTTACTTGTAAAATGAGATAATAGTAGTACCTCCGTCATAAGACTGTAGTGAAGCTAAAATGGGATAATGCATGTAAAGGCTAGCCCTTGTCTGGCTTGTAGGATGCTCTTAATGTTAGCCATTTTTAGTCTTATTAATATTCTTACTGACATTATTAGAAACGAAAAGTCACTCCTATCAATTTGTGCCTACATTCCCTAGGCTCTCCCTTGGGGGGCACATGACACCCATCTTTGCCCATCCCCCACTGCGCCCATTTCTTAGGCCTGGACACTTGTTACAGTCCCACAAGCAGCCTACATGCAGATGAACTTGCAGGTTTCTGGTGATTTTTAAGGATTTGTACTTGCAGTTCCTTGTGTCTGGAATGCTCTCATCACCCCCATTCCCCCCTTTTCTGTCCATCTGGCAAACTCCTACTCAGTTTTCAAGGCTCAGCTCCAAAGTTATGTCCTCTGTGAGTCCCACTCCTAGCCACTTACCACCTGTGTGACCTTGATTAAGCTACTTAAATCTCTGTGCTTTAGTTTCCTATTGGCAAATAGGAAATAACCATAATACCTACTTCAGGATTGATTTGCGAGTTAAATACATTTACATATGTGACTGGCACATTTTAAGCACTCACTAAAGATTAGTTGCTATTATTATTATTGTCATCAAGCTTACTAAGCTTTCTGCAGCTCTCCTTCCCTGTGTAGACAAGCACCTCCTGCAGCCTTCTGTTTTAACACTCCTCACATTGCAGGTAAGCCCCATAAAGACAAAGACTGTTTCTCTTGTTCATAGTTGGGCACATAATTGGTGTTTTGATATATTTGTTGAATGAATGAATATATGAATGATTTATAACTACCTATGTACATGTCTGTCTTTATTAGATGGTGAACTTCTTATTCATCTCTATATCTTCAAAACCAAGCATGGTATCTCTTAATGAGAAGTCCTCAGTAGATGTGTTCTGAAGGAAAAAATGCATTGATTGTTAGCATATTTTAAAAAGCAGAATCAGTGAGAAACCTAGAATCTTAAGCTCCTCTTTCATTACTTTATCCAGGGGGATACTAATTTAATTTTATTAAAGAAAGCAAGGGAAAATGTGTTTTATAAAACTCTAATCTTGGAAATTTACTCCAAAGCTTTTTGATGCATATATATATATATATATATATATATATATATATATATTTATTTATATTTATGTTTTATATGTAAATATATTTTTACAGATTGTTGTGTTATAGTTCTCATTAGAGAAATCTGAAGTTCTCAGGCCATTATCTGCATTAAGAGCAGCTAGGTTTCTAGTCAGGGCAAAGCTAGTCAATGAGTTTCTTTTTTTTTTTAAGATTTTATTGGGGAATTGGGGAAGGGGAACAGCGCTGGGGAATCAGGGGAAGGGGAACAGACAAGTTGCTGT